AAAGAGAGCCACAGAGGAACGGTGAGTCACTGCTGACGGGAGGAAGTCAAGTGACACTAAATAAAAATTAAAAAAACATTGAAAGACACACTGGATATTATAGGGGAACCTCCTGATTGAGGAACAAATCGGTTGTTTTTAGTTCTCAGTCGACTCCGTGTTTGGTGCTTGGTGGTCAAGGAGAGGGACACGTGGTTTCACAGATTTCCAGTGAAGCTTCTGTGTGATTGTAAGAGATACTCAAGGTTCACAGATCTGTCGATTTAAATCAGCTAATTGATTAGTCAACAAACTGTTAGCCGGCTGAGGAGGACTTTGGTGGAGGACAGCCCTCAATATGAGACACAAATAGAAGGCGGAACCTGACTTACTTACATTAGAAATAAAAAAGTGAATGAATGATATTTTTTTCATTCTTGGATGTATGTTTATAGACATGTATGTTTAACAAACAATATACCTGAAAAGAAGAAAAAAAAATTGTCTCCATGAACACAAAATTTGACCAAACCTGACAAGACAGATTCTTGTCACTGCGCTGATTAATATTTTCGGCACTGAACGATTACAATCCAAAGCTACTTTAGGATTTAAAACAGCACCGCCGTTACATTAGCAGCAACTACCGAGCTGGATGCCGCAGTAGTTAGTAGCGTAGTTGTATCATAGATTAGTATAAGATAAGTATCTGGTCAGTTTCTACAACCCAAATAAGGATCCGGGGCAAAAACCCCAGATTCCCCAACTTGGCGTGACGTGAAGCACGTGTGACTCTTGAGAGCAAGTAGAAGGAAAAAAAAAAGAAAACCTTTCCCAACAGGGAGTTGACATAGAGGGGGAAAAAATCAAGATAGGGATAAGTTGGGATCAAATTAACAGAGTGATTTCAGTGACAAACATAGCCGAGTGAGAGAGCCACAGAGTGGAGGATTTGTAATAGAGAGATAGAGTGGCAGAATAACAAAGAGGAAGAATAACAATGGTGCCAAAGCCTCTTCCATCCTCCTTGCAAACGTCCCTGATCTCCCTCTTTTCTCTCATTTAAATTCCTCTCCATTGTCATTGCAATCCGGGCCTAACCCCCCACCGCCTGGCAAATACACACACACGCGCGCGAGCGCAAACACACACTTAAGAGCGCACACGCATTGACCTCCGGCAACAACCGGGGCCGTCCCGAGGAGCCGAGCTCACACATCTTGGCTAATCAATGCGCACACATGCTGGACACTCACAATGTTCGCAGGAAAAGACACAGTAGAATCAAGTGCAGTCCCCTCGGACCAGCGGGCTTGGGTCAGCGTGACCTCGCCGTGCTCACACGGGTGTGGAATAGCAAGGACTTGTCACCAGTCCCGTGTCAAACACAAGGCCAACGCAACGCTCTCTGCTGCTTTGTCAACATGCGCCGTCGATACAGCCGGCCTGACTTCTACTCCTTAGTTCCTATTCCCTGGTCAGCGGCGCTTAAGACGCCAGAACGCCGGCTTGTCAGCATCTGTATCTGACAGAGCAGACATTCTGCTCTTAACAGCAGCAACAGGAAAAAGAATAATGTCTTGTCAGCGTGATCGGGACACGGCTGGGTTAATACAATTCCTCGACTTATCCCCCTTGTCAGCCATTCTAGGTCACAGCGAATGGCAACCGGCGCCGTGTATGTAGATTTGCCTTGTCAATGTGCATAGCAACGTGTAGACTCAACAACGCCCGGGAATATGCGAGAGCGGCCTAAAGGATGCCCAGTGTGCACAGTCAAGACAACACTGAGGTTGTATTGTGCTTTGCTCTCACTCGTGTCAGCAATGCTCGGTCAGACATGGTAATCAGTGGTCCTCATTCTGTCCTGGTTGTGGAACACACTACATGCTTGTGGTGTCTCGGCATTTCAAATATAAGAAATGTAGTGATTGTTTTAAATATGAGTGAAATTCTACAATTCTCCCAAACAAACTTGATACCAAAAGGTACAAAACAGGATCAAAAACTCCATATATTTGAATGCAAACATATCAATCATTCACGAAATGAACAAATAACGAGGTTGTTATTTAGCTTTTCCAAAGGTTTAGGAAATAGACCTTGGACGCATCACAATTCAACCTCTGTTTCTTAGCCGTTGGCTCTTTTATGTGACCAAGTAGCACCTTGCCGCTCACCTGCTGCTAAGCGCTAACGTAGCTCTCCTCCTGCAGGATTTCAACACGCATGTCTTGTTATACATTGAGAAACGAGTGTCTTCACATTTTCAGGATCTCATCCTCAGTCTTTCAGACTTAAGTATCCGCCGTGGCGGACGGCTCCATACCGACCTCCTACTTTTCGGCATTCCTTGTTCTGACCGCACGCCTACAATCTACAACCATGGCCTTGATTTTGATCTCAGCGACATACCTATAATGTTTCACACACACTCATAAATCATCTTTTTTTTTAAATGCGTTGTACTGCAATAACTTCATGTTTAAAAAAATCTCTCTGAGCTGAAGTAGTTTTCTTTCACTATTATCTCATTTACTTTTCAAAAGTGGGTTATGTCAAAAAAAAAGAAAATCCTAGTAACAGCTGCCTCAGTCTGACGATGGCTATTAAACTGTTAAGGGCTAAATTAAAGATGAGATAATTCAAAAAGGAACAAAAACATATCCTGCTGTTTAACAACATGAGTGACATTTAGGGTGATATTAAATCCATTACCATGAACTGTCTCTAAGGTGTAATATACAGAAAAGGCTTAAAAACAACTTGTCATAATTGTAAAAAAAGGAAAATCGATCCATCCCAAACTGCCTTTGCAAAGTAAATCAGGCACATGTAGAGGGTACAAATCAGTGGGGATATAATCCTAAATAGCCAAGTGTGGTCAGGGTTGTGTGTGTGTGTGTGTGTGTGTGTGTGTGTGTGTGTGTGTGTGTGCCGTGGGAGAGGCGGAGAGAGACGGGGTGTGTGGGTGTTAAGGAGATTCTGGCGACAAGGCGAACCCCAGGGATCAAAAAACACACAGTCTCCCATTACTGACGACCCCACACGCAGACACGCTGTGCAAGTGTACATGACATGGTGGTGTCTACTAAGCAATTTGCCGACACGAATGCCAACAGAGGCCCGACGGCAGGACGAGTGGTAGAGTGCGACAAGGAAAGATAAAAGAAAGGCTGTCATCGTCCCGGGTTATCTTACAGGTGCATCACTTCATGGAGGATTCTCTGAACCCATCTGATCGGGGTTCAAATCTGGGATCTGTTGTCATTTCAATTAGTTCATTTGACCTCGGGAGTTAAACAACATTGAGTTCAGAGCGGCGGAACCACTTCGTTCTCGTCCTTCACCACCTCCGAAAGCCTCACACGGACACAAAGAGCGAATGCAGTGTAAACTACATTTTAGCTCACTCTGTACTCTCCATTTAAAACGATGCATCCAAGAGTGATGCGCAAATAAAAAAAGAGTCGGATCAAAAGGGCTGAATAGTCAATAAAAACTATTTTAGGTGCTCGAGGCAAACAAATGAATAATGTTGAATCTTTGATAGACTCTACAGAGTCTCAGTCCCTTGAGTCTTCCCTCTTTCTTATTTAACGTTTTTCCGAATCTCATTAGTTTGTTTATACTGCTTAAGCGGTATGACATACGCTTTGCTTGCTGCGAGGCCAACGTCCTGACGGGGGAGAATAAATTCTAGAGGAAAAAAAACTGTGCATTACACCTGTTTGTCAGTAGAAGCCCGAGGCTTCGGCAGGCGTGTGTCCTCGTTTTAGATCCCCAAACCAGCTCGTGTTGGGGACGTCTGTTCTGGCTGGGGGGGAGCAAATGAGTAATGCCCTTCCCTCCCTCATCGGCAATAAAAGTTGCCCTAGAAGCAAGGCCCTTAACCCCAGATTCCCGCGGTGCAGCTGCTGAGCCAGCAACAATTTGCATTCGCTAATTCTGCGTGCATACATCATCCGTCATTCATGTTTAAAAGAAAGACCTTTAAGGACCGGACGCAGACATTTTATTTAGTGGGAGGCATTAAACCGTAGCTTCAGGTCTGTGTGCGTTAATAAAAGTGTGTATACATACCATTAGTGTTCAAAGCATTGCGGCACGCATGGACTTCCCTGTATGTAACCCTAGAGTCCTGAGCTGTCAGCGTGAATGCATGGCCGCGCCCTCCGTGGAATCTGGATATCGCTCTACGTGTGTGTCTGCTGCATCTGCCCATGTCCTGTACCGTTGTGGCTGTGTACACTTTTGTGACACGTGCGTCTCCTGCGTGCCCACATGTCTGAGGTTTCCCCTCCACGAGCGCCGACATGTGTGCGTCCCGCTGGCGTTTCTGGACAGAGGAATTCTATCCGCCTCCACAGAGTCCTTTCATCGCCCGCCACACACACACACACACACACACACACACACTGCTGCTGACATGGGCATGTCACCACGGCAACCAGATATGGCCGGAGACGTGCTACTGACAGAGAAGCAGACCACCATACTGGTGGGCCACAGGTTCTCGTCGGGGGGGGTTCAGGTCGGCCGGCAGGGTTGGCAGCATGTGAATTTTCCAACAGTATTCTTAAATTCAAACGCATCACCTGAGTATTGAGAATCTCAGTTCTGATTCAAAAGGACAGAAATGTGATTTCATACACTGCCTGCCTTGTTCCCAAATATTCACAACAGCTTGCACGGCATTGAGGCTTCTCACACATATGGCTACCATTATTGATTTGGCAGAGGGAGTCCCCTTTCATGTGATGGCAAAACAAGCCTACAATATTGTACAAATTCACCGCTTTAATGTTTTAGCAGGGGAAGTAGAGTTATGTCTATCAACACGGAAAATAAAATGGGTTTCATGCCCTCCTAAATTCTGAGAAGAGTACTCAGCACGGATAAAAGCAGCACATGAGGTCTGAATACAACGAGAGAGAAACTGAGAGGATGAAAAACTATTGAGTTACAGCAGGGTTTTTTTTTTATGGAGCAAAGAGATACAGGCGGTCTTGTGTTCTTACCTTGGACAAGACGAAACGTCAGCGTGATCTTCCTCGTCACCCTGTCAAAGACAAACAACAGTTAGTCAGGGCAGAAGATTAAACAGTCAAAAAAGGAGTTTTATTTTTCCAAAGTGACTATTGCTTTTCTTTTTAGATATCTGCCCCGGTTGTTGCGACCAGACAGCGACCTATGTTTTTAAAGAGGGATGCCAATGTGGAAGCGCCTTAAGCATTCAAACTAATGTCCATCGTTTTCTCCTCTGGTTGCAAAAAGAAGTCTGAATGCATAGGAGCCGAAGAGAAAATGACACCACATTTCACTTGATTTATTACCTCAATAAACATTGTGAACATGACGTCTCATTCAGTGGTTTACTTAGTTAATGACGGCCCCATTTAGACTAAGTGGGACCATAAAGCCGGGTTGGCCTGAGGGCGTGGCTAACTTGTGATTGGCAGGTTGCTACCACGGCTTTTTCCAATATGGGAGACGTCTGTGTTTTTGACTTTCAACTCCTTCATTGAATGTTCATGGTTTTAGTAATGATATTTTTATAGTCTTATAGAAGGCTCGGTTTTAGTCGCCCGCTCATGTCACTTATGGTTGCAAAAGATGCTGACCGCCCAAATGTGAAACTGAGGCCCTTACAAACCAACGGCTGTTGTTACGGCAACCATTTCCAATTTTTATAGATGCTTTACGTTGTGTCCCCATTGAGAAAGATCATCTCTGCTGATATTTTCAGCATAATTCAAAAGCCACAGTAATAAACTTTAACTGGTTCAAATTGGTGATTCTAAAGAGATACTACTCTGCTTACAAAAATCTAAATGTAATGAACTCCTAAGGTTCGATCCACACCCGCTTCCCCAGCCTCATCCAATAAGCAATATTTCTTCAATCAACATACCTCTCCCTTTTATTTTATACCCCATTCTATAATGGTGTTCATTTATTCAGCAATGTGGAAGTCGGAACATAAAATGCAGCCTTATCTACTCGGTGCATTGGTTCCTCCATGGCTCCCTCCTTCCACCTGGTTTCCCTTCTCTCCCCCTGCCCATCAGTCGGCAGGCGGGGACAGGTGAGCCTATTACACGCTTTTTCACACACTGTCTATTACACACAGTCATAGGTTCACGCACAAAACCCCAACTAGCTCGACTTCATGGCAAGTTACATTTGCACGCACATCACCCGAAGCTGCCGTGCTGTAAAGCGCCTGTTACCACAGCCGCGTCACGCTCACGATGAAGTGATCTAGTGGTGCGCATAAAAGCTGCTAAAAGAAAGAATTAGATACCAGTGAATGGAACAGGAGAAGAAGAACTGACTGCTAACGTTACGTGTGATTTCGTCAACTTTTACAATGAGTGGAACGCAAGGACAACAAGCATGAGAGTGCTATTATTACGCTCACTTTCCCAAAGTAAAAAATATTCATTCACAAATACTTCAGGTCCAAACTAACTGACAACAAATAGGAAGCAAACAGTCAGTCAGTACTGCTTTTCCCTACAATATACAATTAAAATTTAATGATTTACTTAATAGAGATTGAAAAAAATTCCATAGATTTGCCTGTAAGAGGAGACGTTTCACCAGCCATCTGAAGGTTTCGGTCAAAGGCCCAAATGGTAACAAGTATGTGCTCTCGGCTTAAAGTGATGATCAGCGAACCAGCAAACAACTCACCGTGCTGCATTAACTACGGCGAGAGCATTAAAAGGCAGAAAGTTTATACATTTTTTCCATATTCCCTCCTCCACCGTTTCGCCCTCTCCCTGCATCCTGTCGTGTCTCCTTTCATTTTCCACCAGATAAATCTGACCTCAGAATGGTGGATTTTTTTGGGGTTGTTTTATATTTTGTTCTTATGCAGAGTCAGGGCAGCTTATCTCAGTTTGTCAAGAGAGAGAGAGAGAGAGAGAGAGAGAAAGAAAGAGTGGTATCACATGAAACATCACGGTTAAGATGCTCACATTCGGTCTCGGTCCCCCTTGCCGTTCTTGTGTATTCGCCTTTCCAACTATGTGCCTCTACGTCCTCCAGACCTTGACACCAGCTATACTTTTCCAATTCAGCAGTTCCTTAACTCTCTTGATGACAACAGCGCCTTTAGCAGCAGCGCAGAGCACATAAATGATCACAATACTAAACAAAAAAGCAAAAATAGTACCAAAGAATAACCTTAACAGAAGCAGGCAAATCAAAAATAAATCATTATTTATGCGGAGATCGGAGTGTACGAGAAAGAAACACCCGAGTAGTGAATAATGGGAAAGAGCTAAATATACAGTAGCTACTACAGAGAGAGGAATTAAATTAGATGAGATGTTAATGCAAACAGTGAGTGGTAATTACACACTCAGCATGTGTCTTTCCAACACCCCCGCTCCCTAAATCCTTATCTGTAGACATCCAAACGCCATACGTATCATTACTTGATAATGTCATCCGTCATAACACTATGTCAGCCCAGCGTGGATGTTTTTTTGCTCTTCCTTGATTCATTTTACAATCATGGCTGTAGGCTACATCTTGATTCAGGAAACTCCACCCAACTGAACATCTGTCTCAATAACGTTTTCAGTAACCAGGGAGTTCAGTTTATTTGACCCTTTCAAACTAGTGGTTGACAATTTAAAAATATATCCGCGGTTGGGCTTAAAATGACGATGAACAGATGGATCCACCAGCATTATCCATCTGTAATATATCTAAGAAATTGTATTGACCTAATTGCGTTCCAAGCACACGTCTCACCTTTTTAACACTTTACAAACTTTTTACAATTTATCAAACAACACAAATTGAGGTTCTCTAAGCAAGATCCGAGGTTGGGATCATTGCTATTGATCCCAACGGCTCCCGACATGGTGACGGCGAGCCACTGGCGACCAGCTAACGATGGCAAAAGCGTCAAAGGGGGGAAACTACAGCAAAAGGACTGACGGAGCTAATAGCGTTTACCAGTGGGGGGCCGGTTGCTACGCTTCCATGCTAATACTAGATGCTATTTTAGGGTTTCCCTTTAGTTAACAGCATTGCAGGGGCGATGAGGACGGACGTACCGACAGAGGGACAGATGAATGACGGGAGGGTCGGGGGGACGGGGGGGGCGTGGAGACAGACTGACTGACATCAGTCCTTCCCCCAATAGAAGGGCAGGGGAAACACTGCATTAACAGACTTTTACCACCTTACATGACCGTGTCCCACTGTTTTGTTATGAAGCTCGTGTGTGGCAGTTCGCCATGAGTCAGAAAATCAACAGATGTTATTGATGGGATTGGAATTTATTTGTTTGTCTGTTGGTAGTCTGTCTTTAAAGCACAAAACAAGCTCCATCCACCTGATGGACAAAACATGCAGTGATTTCGGTCGTGCAAAACGGTACACGCCTCGTTGAAGGTCTGAACCGAATGAGGGATGACGAGACGCTAGCGCTTTAAAACATGCCCTTGCACAAACAAACTAAAAATAAAAAGGCAGAAAATTAAAAGGTTACACCGGCAGGGGAACTACTATAAATCAGTGGGCTGAAAGGAGTCATAGGAGCCACTGAACTGCACACGGCATGAAATCCAATGAGAATCCAGCCAGCAGCCTCCCAATACCGCCCTTCTTCTCTGTTTCCCTGCCTGTTCTCTTTAAGCCACGGCTATTCTTAGCGAGCAAGGGGATCGGGTTAAGAAGATGAAGGCTGAAAGATCACGGAGAGACAGAGAATTTAACTAAGAGCACAGTGACCGGCGAACCCGCTGACGACGGGTCAACCCGCCTGTTTATTTGGAGAATTTGTTCGCCGGCCAGAGTGAACATTCAATGGAATACATTATCTTCATGCATCACAGCAGAAATCTAACGGAGGAGAGAAAGTCTCTGATATATAATTAAAGATTCATTTCTTTTGTAAAAGTGCAGTTGAATGAGGACAAAGTGGAAGAGGAAGCAGGTAAAGCCGAGGCAGAATGTCATAAATAAGTAACTGTTTTGGCTAAAGACAGCACATTATCTGGCCCTTTTTAGTTGTTCAAGGGAATAGCGGTTATCTTGAAATACCATCTGAATGGGGCCTGAGCAAATATCTGTTAAGTCACAACAGCGACCGAAGAAGTAATACTAAAACAGTGGAAAGGATTTGGCTTTTAGGATGTCAGAGGTTAAGAGAGCAAAGCGGCGCCAGAGAGTTCAGACTGTAAGCCTCATGATCTGCTTCATAACTGTCATCTGACATCACTACAGCAGATGCTTTATCTCAGATCCTGTTCCCGAGGCCCATTCTAATGTAATGGCCATGGGTCTGTGTCACACTGTAATGCAATGAAAACAGAGAGGACAAAGGGGCAATAGGCCGAGATGGTTTGGCCCGGCCCACACCATGAAGATGGGGTTTGGGTGAGAAAGATCCAAACCCGAAGACTGCAATGTGCATGTAGAGCAGGGCAGGATCCCGCTGCAGGAATAACAGCACGTTATGTACGAAACCTTGTCCAAGTGTGTGTGACGGAGACGTGTGAAAGCCTCATTAGGCGACACGTCTTTCCTGAGGCGGAGGCGTGCTTTTGAAAAAACATTTTGTGTTTCCAACTCGGGTGTAGACTAGTTAAAGTGACACACTGCTGGATGTGTACAGCAGTGTGTCACTTTAACTAGTCTACTGCTGTACACATCACCCTGACTGCATGTGTCACTTGTTAGCAGTTGAGATCGACCTGCTGCAAATGTTTCTCCTTTTCCTTCTTTGTAATAGTCAGCATGCTTAGTGTAGCTTAATATCTAAATGGTTTTCCATTCATTGATTGTCCAAATAAAACCCTCATTTGTGTCTTGGGTCAATGTGACTGAACTATGGGGCTTTACAGACACAACGGGAAGAGGTACCCTTTTAAAACTGTGTATTAATTGCTGGTGAATACAAAAGATTGGTTTAAACTATTATTTAACCAGTATTTAATCCCAGTGAGGAAAAATGTGCCTAAAAAAAGTAAAGCAAAAATATTCAGAATGTCAAGTGGACTTCATCCGTAACTCTGAAAGACAATAATGTCCACA